CTCTGTCTCTTCCTGCTGCCTGCTAATTCACATATAAAACTCTCAGCTACCTCTCCAGCATAGGACAGTAGATGGGATTCTCGGCAGTAAGAGTTGGGTGTGAGACGAGGACTCACCTGTGGGACTTGGGCGGCATCTCTAGTACTTGGCCCTATAAAGGGGACTCAAGAGCAACTCTGAAAAGGTTTACTTGGGTCTAGCCTCCGAGCAGGGGCTGGCATGGGTACTAGAACTAGGACTGTCCTCACGGGCCAGACCAATGTTCCTGGGCCAGCCAGCTTGAGACCACAGCCCTGATTGGGGGGACTGGATGATGGATGGGGTGAGAAAATTGGGATGCCTGACATGGCCTGCTGTGACAGAGCCACCTAAGGGTACAGTAGGAAGTATGACTTCATGGTCTGACTTCACTAGCTGTGCAAGGGACCACATTTCTCTTAGAGTGAGGTAGGAAAACCAGACTTACGTGATAGCAGCGCACAGAATGCCTAATATCTAGCAGAGAAGTTAACATAAGAGATCTAATACATCCAGGCATTATCTGCCAAGGCGTGTCTCAGGCTTGATTGAGCATCCCGGGGGCGGGAGGGAAGACTCATCAAACCCTTGTGCTTCTGTTCATTCTCAGAGGGTGTTTCTCAATCTGTAGCTCTAGGTTTGGGGTCAGCCCGTGTGTTTTCTGTGTCTTCTTACATGCTACTGCCGATGGCCCAGAGCCCGTTATCCTGGAGATGTACTGGACTGTATTTTCTAGCCGGTCCTATGGAATGGGGGAAGATTTGCTTCTGCCGCTTTTTAACTCTGGGTGGGACCTTAACAACTTTCTTTATTGCATCTTAGTCTCTCCACTTCTAAAATAAAGGTAATTGTTCCTTAGGGTCATTGTAAGAACTAATAATGGTGTGAAAGACTTCAAAGTTCCCCTGATGTTAATACAACTCGAACACACCAACAATACTCTTAGTCCACAAGAGGTTCTTTCTAAAGCATGTTGTCTGGGCTGACAAAGGGCCTTTCAAAATGGATATTATCACCATCTCATCGGGAAATGAAAGCTGAGGCTAACCATCCCTGGAGCTTCGGGCTCCATAGTTGGGGCTGTTTCAAGTTGGGTTTCACCGCTTCCTTCTGCCCCCTTGCTTTAAACTCTAATCCCAGAAAATGGGTGACCCCTCAAAGATGAATAAAGACTTGGGCTTTCAAGAATGCTGGGAGTTCAGAGAACAGGAGTGGCAAGGAGGAGGTGGGGGAGGATGTTTGTGTGGGAACCGGGCATAGAAGTTGCCCAGGATGCACATGGTGGGCATTCTTTTGTGTTCAGAGAACAGCTATGCAAGTGACTCATCTCTTTTGCCCACACATTCCCTCTTTTCTCTTGGCTGTCTTAGCTGATTGAAGTCATCAGCGATGATGGGGCAGGTGCAAACGGATCACCCACTGACGGACTACCCAGTCCTGGAGGCTACCCCTCCCTTCTGCCAAATATGGACACCAAATCCAGTTGCTGAGCTACAACGTGAACAGACACCATAACTTGTGGATGATGAATCAGAGAAGCCCACTCTCCCACACGGGCCACAATGTCCCAGCACCCGGAAGTCTCCATTGTAGAAAGCCCATGTGCAGTAGGTGGGGAGTCTTTGTAGTCCTTGTTTTAATTGCCGTCCCTTGCCCTGCATTACATGCTCAAGAGTGAGGGTGGAGACCATGTGTTGGTCATCCCAATTTCTTACAGCTGCTAGACAGAGAACTCTCATCCATATTTAGCATCTGAAGGCTTTGTAACTGACAACTGCCATTGTAGTTTTTGGCAGACTAAATTTCAGTCAGAGTTTCTCCTGGTCTGGAAGATGTAACTACCTGGTGTTCCCCACATTCCCTGGCTTCGCCATGTCCAAACCTATCCAGTACCCTCTGCTCTCAGAATCTCCCCCTTTCTTCTCTCCCCCACTGTCTCAGTGGGTGGCAACATCACTAAACAGTCAAGCCAGAGGCTCAGAGTAGACCCAACACATGTTTTTAAATTTTAATTAATTGATTTTTTTATTTTATTTTTTTTCAAAGAGAAGAAAGAACAAATAGTTTCCAGAGTCCCCCTTTCCTAATAGCTTTCCTTAAACTAATATCTTCCATTAGATGGTGTCTTGAAATTTGTTATGATGGCTGAGCTAATAGTGGTACATCATTTACTGAAGTTCCAGTTAACTTAAAACCTTACTTTTTGTGTTAAACATTTCATAAGCTTTAGCAATGGATTTGTGTACGGGGTTTTTATTCTAATAGTGGACACATGACATCAAGACACACATTATTCTAGAAAGCTTGATTCTTAAGAAAAAAGTGGCTTGGGAGTGAGATCCACATAGAGGACCCCTCCTAAGAAGGGCATCAGACTGAATGGTAGCACCTTGGTGTCCTTACCATTCCTCCTCAGGAATGCCCAGTCTTAGCTGAGTTCTGGTTGCTCCTAGTCCTGACCTGCCTCAGTCAGATGGGAGAGTCTGTGGTTTTTAGATTAACTCTTACCTTCCTTATTTATTTATTTATTTATTTATTCGGGTTTTTTTTTTTGAGACAGGATTTCTCTGTATAGCCTTGGCTGTCTTGGAACTCTCTCTGTAGACCAGGCTAGCCCTGAACTCAGAGTTTCGCCTGCCTCAGGATTAAAGGTGTGGGCTACCATTACCCAGTGACTAACTCTGATTTTAAATGGCAGCTCTTGGAATCACTTCCAGGTTATCCAGTGATCTTTGCTGTAGAATACAGATGCTGGCTGAGCTAGAAGTCTCTTGATCACAGTGTCTGGAATTGATATTCAGGGATCTGTGCTGGCCAACTGTACCCATCGGCAGACCTGGTTTCTAAAGCAAAGTCTCCACCACCAGTCCCAGGTGGAGAGGCAGTAACTTGGGACATGTTGATTTCCTTCTGACTCCCACACAATCTCATTGACAAACTCTGCTAGTGTGTTTCCTCCCTTCCTCCTCCGTTTGGAAGCCCTAGAACAAGTTTTCATCCTAGCCATGGGACTGGATGAAAGGAAGAAAGGAGGCAAGACAGAAGGAGAGCTGGATACTGGGGAATTAACCTGTGTGCCTGCCCTCCACATAACTCTTCACATATGCTCTTTACATAACCAAAGACTTTTGTTAGCCTTTCACTTCTTAACCTCTGCAATGGTTAACTTCAGAAGCAACTATGGAATGATCTGGAATGCCTCCACACATTACAGGATAAATTCATTCAGGGAGAAGGAATGCATTGTTCAAAAGTTTTTTAGACTCCTTTTTCCTTTTAATTTGAGTGTTGTGGGCTATTAAAATGTTTTCTCACAGAGAGGGGGGGGTGTTAAGAATTCTAAGGAGACAGTCATTTCTGTTACATTTGTTGTAACTATATTGAGGTACATTTTTGTATCTGTGGGATATAATGCAGAGGCAGGTCATTTGTGTGACGGACATTCTAGACACAGCTCCAGAGCAATGCATCTTCATGAGGTCTGCATATTGTCCATCCATGATTGGGGGCAAGTCTTAGGTCCTCTCGAGTCGATCCAATGATGGCCCCAAGGATCAAAAACTTTGATCGTAGCTGTGTGACCTTGATCAGACACTAGCCCAATGTCTTCGGTTTCTCTGCAAAATGGAAACCTTCCACTAGACCACATCCCGTGGCTCTCACATTCTAATTTTATGTCTGGCCTTCTATGCACGTGAAATGACAATTTAATCAGTAATACAATCATTAAGCTTTGCCCACTGTTTTCTCTCCCAGTCCTTGGCACAGAAATTCCAGCAATGTCCCTCCCCCGTCTTTTCAGGGGACATTGTTTTTCTTTCCCAAGACTTGGCATAGAAATTCCAATATCTCCAACATTGTACCTCTCCGTGACATTGCCTTCTCTGGGAAGGGGCAGTCCTTCCAAAAACTCTTACACCCACTTGACAACGTGTATACATTCTATAGGAAAAAAGGGTGTCTCGGTAGAAAACTATGTACCCTCTACAGCCCAGCTTTCCAAGGGATCAAATTCTACTGTTCATTGTCTTTGAGCTGTTTTGCAATCCTCTATAAATTCTAAGTAATAGATACATAAATTATGTTCTGTCTGATATAATTAACTTCCTACTCATTTGGGGAGAAACCAGTTTTGTTTCCATTAGCAATGCAGCTCACCATTCCTTTCCCCTGCAGAAATATGTGTGCGTTGACTTCTCATTTGAACATCTGTCTGGCCTCCTGGTAGTAAATAAGGTTCTTTAATGTGGCCATTTTTATTTTTGTAGGCAAGTCGTGATTTTTATCTCTTTCTGAAAATTATCTTTAATAGCATATTATCTCCTCCAAATCTTCCAGAAAACTGTTTCTATTTTCAGTCCATCACATGGCTTTTGTTGTACACCGTTGGCTCTGATCTTTAGCCCTCCCCTCCCTGCTATTAAAGTACCTCTTAGATTCCTGTGCTCTTTTACCCCAGACTTGGGCAAAATCAGGCTTCAACACATCCAGGCCCTGCTGGAAACCAAACTTTTTGAGGTTTGCTATGTTGGAAATTTCAGCTCCGGTACTTAGGAAATACAGCCCGGGCATGCTTTGGTATTTAAGATCACTTAAGGGCTGTCTAGGCAGTGCCAGGAGACAGAGACCAGAGTTGGCATTTTTTCCCCTAGCTTTGGAAGGCAGTCTGGGGGCCTGCATCTCTTCAGATACTTGGTATGATGTTAATTATGTGGATAATTTAGCCTTTCACTCTTTTTTGTTTGTTTGTTTGTTTTAAAATAGGGTTTCAGGTTAAAGTGGAGGTCTGCTACCATCAGTTAATTCTTTAGTTTTTAATTATTTTTTGACTGAAGAACTACAGCTGCCCCAAGTGTGACTGTCAGTATATTTAGGCTGGCTTATTTGGGTGTGCACAAATGTGTGAAGCACACACAGAAAATAGAGGAAATGAGAGAAGCCCCACCAGTTTGCAAAGTGTCCGAACGAGGAGACTTCCTGGAATCCCTCCCTTGGCTTCAGCTGCCATGTTCAGCCCCAGACAGCCCAGGGAAGTGGCTGCTCCTGCAGGCTGCCCGCGATGATGGCTTTCTTGGGTCCCTAGGATACAGACATTTTAGTTTTGAAACTTGTTCATGCTAATTAAAAACATTTAATCATGCCTGTTAAATTCGCAGCTAAGGGAAATAAGAGGGAAGTGAGTCACAGGTGCTGAGCATTCTACTTTGAAAATCTTAGCCCTTTCTCCTACAGTGGTGTGGACAAGAGGCCTTTGAACCACAGCTCCCACTGAACGCTCGACTCATGACTCCTGCTAGAAAACACGTTGCTACACTGGATACCTGGATAAATTATACGGTATGTGGTTTGAGGAAGAGCATCTTTGGAAACATAGGTGGAGAACAGCTATAGACCAGGGCTAAACAGACCCACACTGTGCCGTGAGGAAATTTCTCTGAGCCGCTCAGGAAGGATGGACGATGTCATTTCTATATTTTTCGAATGGAATTCTTTCCTCGCGTTTTTTCATTAGGAAGAGTCGGACTTGATCCTAGACTAATATAATGGCACCGCTGGAGCTACTGATGCCATTTTGAAGCGTGTGTCACACTATAGAAACACAGCGCCGTAAAGACTCTAATTTGCCAAGCTGTAAGAGGCACCAGATGGTACACTTACACCGAGGTAATTCCTCTTCGAACAGGCAAAAGTCTGTGACGTCACAGGCAAGAGAAACAGTGCGTGCTCAGGGCCTAAAAACTGGATACCATCAAAGGACAAAGATTACAATTTAAAGATCTTAATCAGCTTTATTTTCAGTTCTAGAACCACACATTTCAGGCCATAGACTAGAATGAGAGTTGCTAATGAACTAAACAGAGGAGAGTTTTATAACGGAGGAGGGCTGGAGAAATAAAAACAAAACAGAAAAATGAATGAGAAGAATGCCGGTAATGTCAAGTTGCTTTCATTGTAAAGCAGAGACAGAACCTGTAATAGAAAAACAACTGATTGGCTGACAGGTTATTCCAGATTGTGTGTGGTGGGAGGGGGAGCAGGGGAAAATTTAATAGCATGCCAGCTGAAGTGGGCCTGTTTGGGAAGTTTGGTTAGTGCTCTCACTCTTTATTCCGCAGGGCTGATAACAGGGACAGTTAGCATGGGTGACACCATTGCACTTTTGTATAATCTATTAGAGCCTAGTATGGGGGTTTTTGGAGATAATGACTAACAACAGTATTCACCTAACAGCACTGAGTCATTTCTCCCCCCATCAGAATATAAAACCCAACAGATATCCAAGTTGTCTGGTTCTGGCTCTGCCTCTACCTCCCGTCAGTACCCTGGTACTAATAGAGTGACTCCAAAATGAGAGCTGGGAGCCCCTGACCTCCAGAAACTCTACCATGGTTTTGTGTGTGGATTGGTGGTATTTCCTCAGAACCAACCAGAAGCCCAGGGGCGACACTTCAGGTCGCTTTAGATTCCCCCTTCTTCCTAATGCCGTGCTCATATCATGCACACTGACTTAACTCCAGGATTCCAGACCCTGGCGAATGGATACGGTCTGAGCTGCAGGCATCTTCTCTCTTTGCCTGAATAGATGGTGTCCTCCCCATCTCCTCCCACCTATCCTGTCAGAATGGTTTTAAATGTACATCTTAGTCATGTCCTTTCTTGCTTAAAAGTCATAAGTAGTCGTACTTCACACCCTGAACCAGTAACGGCAAAAGTCAACCTGATTAAAGGTTGTTTTGGTCCTACTTTAAAGGCTTGAAAGAGCACATTGCTTCTAAGTACCTAACTGAATCCCAGGCATGTACAGAAGATGACTTGACTCTTGAACAATGGGAAGTTCGTTATTACCTGGCACCCAATAAAAGTGATCAGGGCCAAGAAACTGGAAAAAATAAGTCTGTATCAGGAAGAAAAATTCCATCATTAGAAATAAATGCAGATGTGAACAAAATGATTGAAGCAACAGGCTAGTGTGTATTTTAAAGATGTGAGTATAAAACCACAAGACAAAGATGAGGGAGGGCAATGTGAGCACACTGAGGAAAGGGAAACACACACGGATGAGAAAGGAAGACTCAAGTCGAATTTCTAAAGATTAAAAACAATAGCAGAGATGAAAATAAAGAAACACAGGGGGTGAGAGTAATTCTATTATAAACTAAAGGCTGAAGAAAGACAGAAGTGGGGTTTTAGTGGCCTGCCAGTCAACTTGAAGCAACTTAGAGTCTAACTAAATGATTCCCACAGAAGGGTGGAAAGTGAAAGGGAAAAGGAAGAGGTGAAGGGTTTTCCCACTTCAGAAAAGGGATCCAGGGAGCTCAACCAGAAATATAAAGAAAACTTTACCAAAGTACACAGTGAAATTGCTTTAAAGGAGCAAGCAAGAAAGAACTTTCAACCAGCTGGGGAAAGGGCACAAAGAGCAACGGGAGCAACAGCTGACTTACCCTGAAGGACAATGCATTGCGAAGGACAGTTGATCAGTTTCGAGCTAAAAGAAAGCACTGTGAACCTAGACTTTCATATAAAACGTGTGTGTGTGTGTGTGTGTGTGTGTGTGTGTGTGTGTGTGAATAGTGAAGGAGAAATAAGTGTTTTTCAGACATGCAAAACTGAAACAATTGATTATCAGTTCACAGAAAAGTTAGAAGATGACCTTTAGAAAGCAGGAAAATGAAAGAAGATAGAAGTCTTGAGCTACACAAATAAGGAAAATACATACATGGTCAATGTTTTAATATTAAAATCTATTTTTAAAGTCTTTAAATAATAAAAAATACTTCACTAATAAAAATATTAAAGTAACATGGAGTTTATAGTATGTGCAAACAAAGTGTTCACAAGACAGGCAGAAGAGGGTGTGGGCAGAGGCTCGTCGACATGTTGCCTGCTGTAATGAGGTGACTGCTCTTGCTCTCCTCTTTGTCGCTGGGATAAAACCATGACCAAAAGCAACTTGGGGAGAAAAGGTTTATTTTTAGCTTGTGCATTATGTCCATCACCGAGGAAAACCAAGGCAGGAACTCAAGACAGAAATCTGAATGCAGGAATTAAAGTAAAGGCCATGGAGGAGCCCTGACTTGCTTCTAGTCTTCCCTTCAGCTACCTTTGTGATACAGCGCAGGCCCACCTGCCCAAGCATGCTGCTATCATCCACAGTGGGCTGGGTACTACTACAAAAATGAGCAATCAAGAAAAGGCCCTCATAAGAGCTGGAGAGATGCTCAGCAATAAGAGCACTGGCTACTCTTGCAGAGGTCCAAGTTTCAATATCCAGTATCCACTGGGAGACTCCTAACTGTCTGTCCCTCCAGTTTCCCAAGGATCCAATGCCCTTTTCTGAGATCTGTGGGCATAAAGCACACATGTGATACACAGACACGCATGCAAGCAAAACAGCCACACACATATAATAAAAATAAAAATAATTTTAAAAGAAAAAGAAAATCCCCGCAGGCGTGTCCTCAGTCAGTTTGATGGAGGCAATTTCTCAAGTGAGGGTCTCTCTTCCCAAGTGACTCTAGTTTGGGCCAAGTTGATCGAAAATGAACCACCATAGGGAGGGGAGCAGAGAAAAAAATGTAGAGCTCAATAAAAATCAAAAAAAAATGAGCCATGACAATGGCTGTGGTTTAAAAAAAATCAAAAAAGCCCACTCTATACTATAAATGTAAACGCAAACATTAAAAACAAATGACACAATAAATATGACCAATAAACCAATAAAATAGATTTTTAAAAAGTCAAATGATAAAAATCTAATCTAAATGAAAATAAAAACACAAAACCCAAAGACAGGTGGGACAAGGGAAAACAAGGAAGAAAGACAGTTTGATGGTTCTCTGTCTAGAGCCTAAACATTAAGTGTAAATGTGTTAAATGCCTTCTTAAAGGCAAACATTACCCCAAAAGATTTTTAAAGACTAGCTCTATTCTGTTCATTAGCAACAAAACAGAAATATGAAGACACAAATAGATTCAATAAAAAAAATGGTGGAACATGCCATGGTTGCACCAGGAAGGAAGGGTTTGCCTGCACTGAGAACTGGTAGAAATGGTAGGGACAGGGAGGGGAACGGAAGGCATTGTAAATGCCCCTCCTATAACGACTTGCTGTAGAGCAGTGGCTCTCAACCCTCCTAATGCTGTGACCCTCTAATACAGCTCCTCATGTTGTGGTGACTCCCATCCATAACATTATTTTTGCTGCTTTATAAGTGTAATTTTGCTACTTTTATAAATTGTAACGCAAATATCTGTTTTTGATGGTCTTAGGCAACCTCTGCGGAAAGGTCATTTGACCCCCCCAAAGGGTCACGACCCACAAGTTGAGAACCACTGCTGTAAAGGCTGTCTCCTTCCTCGTGAACTGCTGGGGGATACTGGAGGTAGGCCCTGACATTCATTGTAACCAACCCTATGAGAACAAAGAACGGGGAAAGTAGAGGAGAAGGGACCTCCAGGTGAGAAACAGGTATTGCATTCATGTGGGAGGGGGGAATATAGGGTTAGCTGTTAGGGAAATGCCACAGGGAGAGCCATTGGCTGAATGACTGGGAAAGGCACCAGGTCAGCGTGGTTCCCACACCAGAAGGGCATGGGAGCTGAGCCTTGAGTGATTAATGTGTTGGTATTATTTCCCATTAACCAAATCCTTTAAGAATGTCATAGAGCACTGGATAAGAGCAATTTAGGGGAACTGTGCTATCGAGGGCACAGGTTTTCGGTTTTAGCTATATGCTCAGGCCCAGAAGAGTACGCATCTACCCAATTCCTTCATCTTTCCTCCTCCCAAAGCTTAGCCACGTGTTTGGAAAGCCAAAGTCCCTCTCCCTGGAACTTCATGCCATGTTGCTGGAGATCACTTTGTGCCAACAGGGGCCATCTTGGCTGTGAAGGAGCTCCCACAATGCTTGCGGATAGGCACATGAGTGGACTGGGAACAGAGGGAAAGCAGGAAAGCTGAACCACTGAGAGATGATGTCAGGAGGAGAACTGGACCAGGGAAAGTCTCCTGTGCCCAGCTAATAGGTGGCCCCATGGGAAAAACCTTTCCGTTGAGGAGGAGCACAAGAGCTAGGAGCTTCTGTCCTGGGAAGCAAAGAGCTCTGAGCAGCATTTTCAACGCCTTCAGAAATCTTAGGGCTATAAGCTCATTAGAGGAGCTTCAAGTCCTTTGTGCTTGATAGAAAGGAGGTCTGCAAACAAGGAAATGATGGTAGCGCGCACAGGGGACCAGGAGGACTTCCCCAGAAGGAACCAGAGAGCAGGAGGTGAGACATCCCAGCTGAGGAGGGGTCATTTCTCTCCCTCTCCCTCT